CTGCATGCGATTTCTTTAACAGTCATCGCTTTCAATGCAAAAATGCAATAACCGGGCCGCACGCAGGGCCAGACTTACTCGGATAAGTCGATCCATCTGAGCTTGCGCCTTCCAATTTTCTGTCTTTGGAGGGATCAGGATCGTTGTGGCCAGATCGAAGTTGGCCTGATGGCCGGTGGGCCCATTGTTTACCTAATGAAAATTAAATCAAAAATATTATTTGAAAGTCCAACCAAGAAAAGCAGAACAACACGATTGACTTAAAAGAAAGATAATAAAGTTTATTTTCTCTCGTAAATATCTATCATTAGCAAATAAAGAGAAGCAGCGAATGTTGGAAATTTAGCACTAAACTTGGCTTATTTCTAGCCATAAATTTGCTTGGCCTGTGAGTACCGGACTAGAAACAAATATTACTCACGTCGTTATCGATAGAATCATAGCGAAGATGAACATGTTTTGATAAACAATCTTTTGGGAGTTTTTTAATTTCGTAATTAATGGATTAACTAATAGGTGTTGGGAGCACAAGTAATAACACACTAAAATAATAAAAAGGTTAAAGGATCATTTGGCACATTTTAATTACTCTATGGTCTATAATTAAAATTTCTAGAACAGTTATATTATATAAAAGAACGTGTTTTTTTAAGAATGCCAAATATAACCAAAGAAGCTGTGTTAGATTGAAAAATGCTCTTTGGCATTTACACGACCAAATATGGGAAGTTCTTTAAACTTAACTTTATAGCAAATTTTATAAAATTTATTTTTCGTTTATAAGCAGAATTTCGAGACTAACAGTAGATCAGTTATATGAGATGTATTCACTTTATTTCGTTTAAGATAAAGTAGGACTGATAGTAGAATTTCCTAACAATGATATGAGTAAAGCTGAGTTAACGTCTCCACTGAAGTTCACATAGCTTTGCCTTCCCAAAAGTTATTCTCACCCAGACTGGAATACACTTTCGACCTCGTGTTAGCGGGAGTCGAACCGTGACAGAGCAGCATGTGAGCTTGACACGTTGATCCCTTAACTACATTTCCACGAGTGCCCTTGAGCCACAGGGCTGATGCGAATTTCAAGGAAGGCCAGGTTTTGTCCATATCACATTCTTTGTTGGGATTGTCGATGAAGCAAACGTATTTTTTCTATAACAATCGACTAAGTTACTTATTTTTTGTACATAAGCAGAGTTTTGAAACTACCAGTAAATCATTTATACGAGAGGTATTTATCCTATTTCGTTTAAGGTGATAAAGGACTGGTAGCAGAATTTTCTCATGAGTAGAGCTGACGTTTCCAGTCCTTCATCATCTTAAAGGAAATAGGGTAAATACATCTCTTATATAATTTGTCTTAAAGCTGATCAGGTAAGTTCTCATTATGATTATAGAAAGTGCGCAAGTTAATCATTTTTATCCTTTTAGTAAAGCATCTATCTGTTCATGAAATCAATAACTAAAATTTTTCTCAGAACTGAGATTTTTGCGCTAGTACAGGCTTATTTATTTATGAGGCAATTAAAAATGTATATGGGGTAATCTTAGTGGATAAATGTCAGATATGATACTAATTTCTAATAGCAGCCTATTCGAGTCACTTGTTTTGTATTGAGTTGAGCAGAGGGTGCCAAAGCTTTTCGATATTAAATTT